TGTCAATGGAGTTGAAGATTGAACGATCAATTCACGGTTGTTTGCTCAAAATCAACTTCCCCAATTTTCGCGGAGGCATCAATCAGCCAGCCGTCGTCTCATCGGTCGCTGTTCAGAAAGATGTCAGGAGAAAATCGTCAGAAGTAATATTGTTATTTATTATTGTAATATTTGTTCATAAACCTTAGTTAAAACTTAATTTTAAATTTGGCTATATGTGTGTGTTACAATAAGTAATTCTCGAGTCGCCGAACTATGTTCTGGATTTTGCATCCGTTAGTACTATACGTTTCTCAAAGACTTCGAGGGACAGCGAGAGGCCCGGGGTAGCAAGGGCTGGGCATTAACGGTTTTCCAGGCTTGACTGTCAGTATGAAATCCGAATACTGAGTAATATTCCCATGCAAATAAAAGTATCTTTAGTCCACATCTTCTTTTCAAATTGACGCCTTATGCATAAACAAACCTCATGTGTTTTCCAGTATTGGAGGATTATACGTGTCAATGTAGTTGAAGATTGAACGATCAACTCATGGTTGTTTGCTGAAAACCAACTTCCCCAATTTTCGCGGAGGCATCAATCAGCCAGTCATCGTCTCATCGGTCGCTGTTCAGAAAGAAGTCAGTAGACAACCGTCAGAAGTAATATTGTGATTCATTATTGTAATATTTGTTCATAGACCTTAGTTGTAGAGCTTAGTTGTACATTGGCTATACGTTGGTGTTAGAATAAATAATTCTCGAGTCGCCAAACTGGGTTCTCGGTTTTGCGCCCGTTCGTACTAAGCATTTCTGAGAAGCGTCGAGGAACAGCATGAGTCCCAGCGTAGCAAGAGCTGGGCACTGACGGTTTATGAGACGTGTCTGACAATACGCAAATTTCAAGACAATATCTTAAACATCCATACTGTTAAATAGTCATTCTCTTATCAAGATTACTTGCGCACCAACTTCACACTAATTATGTTTACATTAAGGGAAGTATTGCAAACATGTTACTTATATTGTAATCCACAAACTCAGTAATGTCCAGATAACATGATTTTTTATTCCTACCGAAATTACATCCTCATATTTAGGAAACCTCGTTGTGCGTGTGGTTATCTTCTGCGTGACCGAAGTAGATCACTGATCTACTCAGAGTTGAATGCAAGCTACAACACGCTGAACAGAAGAGTGAATATGAGTGCCAGGGAAGACAAAAGAAAATATTACGAAGCCATGTCAAGTGAAGCAGAACGAGCTGCAGGCGAAGGAGACCTCGCCACACTCTACCAAACAACTGGGCACCTATCGGGCAAACGTTTGACACAGATTAAGGCAGTAAAGGATGACAATTGAAAGTCAACCACCAAAGAGGTAGAGCAAAGAAAACACTGGGCTGAACACTTCAAAAGACTTCTAAATTATTACCACCTACAACGCGCCCAACAATACCAACAACGGAAGCAGAACTACCGGTGAACATCGAATCCCCGACGAAATCAGACATCCTGAAGGCAATCAAGATGCTAAAAGCTGTGAAAGCAGCAGGACCAGATGGAATCCCAGCAGAAGCATTGAAAATGGACCCAGAGACAACAGTGGACTTGATGGCGCCATTGCTGGAGAAGGTGTGGAAAGAGGGCAATGTACCCGAGGATTGGAAGAAAGGATGCTTATTCAAACTACCAAAGAAAGTGGCGCGGAACTGTGCTCCTGTCCATCCGAAGCAAAATAATAAGCCGCGTCATCCTGGAAAGAATCAAACTAGCCAACCTGGATGCAAAACTTCGACCGGAATAACCTAATATTCAGGGGAAACAAGTCATGTATTGATCAAATCGCCACACTTTAGATCGTCATTGGACAGAGCTTGGAATGGCAGTCACCTCTCTATCTCAACTTCATCGACTTTGAAAAGGCCTTTGACAGCGTCGATCGAGAGGTCATTTGGAAACTACTTCGCTACTACGGGGTCCCATCGACAATTATACATTTTATCCAACAGTTAGTTGTACGACAATGCTGCATGCCAAGTAATGCACAACAGGAAACTTATGGAAGCCTTTGAAGTGAGGACGGGAGTGAGGCAAGGCTGTCTACTATTGCCAATGACCTTCCTGATTACAGTAGACTGGATAATGCAACAGACAACGGTCAGTGAGGAAACAGGCGTAAAATGCACTCACACAAAAAACTTGGAGGATCTGGACTTCGCCACTAGAGGCACATTCGTGAATAGAGATGAAACATCAAGTGATGCCATATATTTGCCATTCGCGTTCAAGTTTTTGATCGTATCAACAAATTGAAAGGTATCCTTGACGCTGTGCTTACACTAACTCGTCATGCAAGGGTTGAAGTAGCTGTACCAGCCACTTTGCCGTCTCATGATAGGGTGAAAGGGACATGTCTAGAATGGAGAGTAGGTGCACTCCTGATTTATGCACTTTCGGTAGACCATACATGCGTGAGATGGCGCTCCGTGTAGGTTTTGTTTTCGAAAGTTTTTGCTGATAAATACCCTTAGAATCCTTTAATAAGTTTGTTATTTCATTCACTACTTTCTCCGTATGATCATTCATCGCTAAATAGTGATTTAATTTTGAACAACTTCAATAATGCTCACCCAGCGGTCCATTTCACCTACGAAGGAGAATACAACTACTCTTTACACTTCCCCGACGTCCTACTAACGAGAAGATAAGATGGTTCCATCAAAAGAACCATATTTAGAAAGCTAGAGACCAAAGCTCAGTATACACATTTCCTTAGCTTCGTACCGATGAAATACAAACGTAATCTAATCAGGTGCTTAGCATTTACAGCGAGGTCTATTTGTTCCGAAGAGTGCGTAGAGAAAGAACTCCAGATCATCCGAGACATTCTAAGCGAGAACGGATATTCAGAGAAGTTCATTAAGGCCAACATAGGTTATGATAGTCGTAAACATGAACTGGCAACTGCGGAGAAAAAGCCTTTGTTTTTACGTCTCCAATTCAAGGGAGATACTCCTGCGGAGATTCTATCCCAACGTTTAACCAGGGCGATCAAGAAAACTTTCTACTCTGCACGTCTGTGTATATCCTTCGCTAGCCATCCAATGTTCACCCAGAAACTCAAAGATGTCTTACCTAACCTTAGCTCTTCTTCATGCATATACCATTTCAACTGTTCCTGTGGTTCAAGTTATATAAGGCGCACGATTAGGCAGGTTCGTCTACGGGTTTGAGAACACTTACCGGCCTGGTTCAGCAGGGGGAAATTAAGTGCATAAAAAGCTCGATCCTGGCACACTTGGTCAATACTGGACATGGCATCGACGTCAACACAGCTTTCAGGCTTATATACCGAATTCCGAAGTCGTTATCACGTACAGTTCGCTTACCTCTCCTACACACAGCTGAAGCTGTTGCAATAAGATCGACTGAACCGGAACTCTATATCCAAAAAGAACACGTCCAGACGCTGTTCCTACCGTGGGCAACCTTGGATTGAAGATTTTTCTCACCTTCCCCTTAACCCTCTTGGTTTTTTCGTTTTTACTTTGCTTATTATTATAAATATTATTATTACAGTTATTATTATTATTCGTCATAATTTATGCCCTTTATGTAAACATTCCCTCAACACTACCGAGTTTTCATTTGTACGAACTTATTATTAGTGATATTATCTCTTTTCTCAATATATGCCTCCACCTGTTTCATTTAACATCCGTTATCTCACGATGAACCCCTCATTCCAGTCTTACTATATCCTGCTTAACTCAGACCACTTTGTACTAACCACTCACCTGACACCTTTTATAACCTCGAACTGATTTGTCAATTTTCCCACCCACACTCTACAATTCTATTATGATTAATTACTACCACTGTCTCCCGTTTTACAATATTTCTAATCGATTTCAGCCTAGCACGTTTGTCACACAAATACGACTATTTATTTTGACACCCCATAACTAATCTGTTATTCTACGTTAAAAATGTACCCGACGCATAAATGGCCTTTATCGTAACGACCACAAATATTATATTTTATAATTGTAAGAACCTGAAGAGAAATTATCGAAAAGAATATTCTTCGTTCAGATTGACTTTCTATTCATAAAAGGGGAATATTTCACACTATTGCAGCATTAGTTTTACAATATCATAGGGAATGGTATAACAGACGATAGATTAATAATAATACAGCTAACTACATTCACTTCTCATGATCAACACAATCCATGTGTACAATGATACTATACACTGAAATAATGCACTAAGTGAAACAGTGAGGAGACTTAAACGAGTAATTGCCTTCTCCACTGCACAGCACTTGCAGCCCTCGTGAGAACCACACATATCTGTTAGCCTAGCAGTCAACCAAGCAGACAATCGCACAGTATTAATAGAAGTATCTTTTATGTATTGAATCAACATAGCCCATATTGCACTGCGCGAAACGGTTTAAAGATATACTAATTCCACTTTCAGAGATAAACTTTCAACTTACGATAACTTCTGTCCAGTCACATATTCGGCGAAGGACACATCTACATGATAACTTCTATTCCCACAGAAGGTTATGTTAGCATTTACAGGCGATTCCCATGTGCTGATAGCATTCTTTTTTCAGATGGCACTGTTCTTTACACGAAAATAGGCTGCATAGATATTCTGAGGTGTGAAGCCATTATATGATAATATCCCGAGAGGTAAAGCTTCTACATGAAGTAACTATTTGCGTAGATGAGATAACCCTCTAACTATCCCAACATGCTCATTATAGCGATATTTAGGCAAAATCCGCCTGAAACATTATTCATTGCAACGTATATGATAACAATGCACCGCAGTCGGATTGTAAGACGCGGACACCAACATGAAATGTCAGGAAATGAAAGTTACTATCAGTCCATAAAAAATAAAACACAATTTTATTAAAATTCATTGACAAAAAGGATTTATCAAGCGAAATTTCAACCAACATGCCGGATAGTCAGCCGATACATGTCTATACAATTGAAACAAACTACTACAGATGACACCCTACCAACGCGCCACTTACAAATTTGGCGTTACCACCCAAGGAGAGGTGTGTAACCTGTATTAGGTTTCCCTGCGAATTACTTAGAAACTGTTTCAATGACTGAACATAACCAACCCAAACCTCCCATTAACAATGATGAGGAACAGTCTGTACCTGGTGTTGAAATTGATGAACTTGATATATCAAACATGGAAGGTGAAGAAATTGATTTGGAGCATTGCCGAATAAAATGCATCAACAAATTAGAACGTTTCCCAAATGTCCGTCGGCTGTGTCTCCGGAATAATCTTTTGAAGAAGCTGGAAAATTTTGAACCTGTATGTCAAACCCTTGAGGAGTTAGATTTATATGATAATCAAATTACAAAGGTGAGTTCCATTACTGCCTCTGCGTTAACCTCTCAGTGTTTAGCCTTTCTTTTAATAAACTAGTTTGCAGGAGCATCTGGAAGATGTGAATAAGAGTATTTGTATAGAAATCTACAATATTTATTTAACTGAAAAAACTAATGGGAATGTGAGTGATCCGTGGCATCCAGTGAATAACTGAGGATTATGGTAGATGTTATCCATTTAGTGAGTCTAGGATGTAGTTTTATCAGCCTTTCATAACACATACGAAGACCACTGACTAGTGGATTAACGTAGATGTGACTGGTCAACATCTTTTAATTGGGGAATGTTACAAAATAATATCTTCACGTTCGGGTGATTGTTAATGTACCTGACTAGTTGAAGTGACCATTAACCTTTAGCCTATATGTAATACACATACACTGGAGTCACAAAAAAACCAATATGACGGCAACCTAACAAACTACTGCAAACTCTGGCCTCAGTATTTCATTGTGCGTCGGTGCCACAGTGGTTAGGGTTAGGGTGGCACTCCCGGCCGGCCATGCACATGGTCGATCCCCTGTCGACGCACACCTGATATCTATGGTCAGCCTGCAAAATTTGGGCTACCGATATCCATGCTAAATTTTCCATACTTGTACCAAAAATACAGTGTGGAATCAAGCCGTAATCAAAAATAAAAAATATATATGTGTTAATTTGATTGATTCTCTAGCATATGTAAATAATTCGCGTTCCTAAGTTACCCTATTAACCGATATATTTATATAGATTCGTGAACTCATTGAAGTGTGTTTAAACGTCAGCCCAGGCAACTTTCTAACTGATGCTGAGCTGATTTTGTTACTCTAGTTACCTCTTTTTGAACTGTTATGAAGTATGGCAGCTAAAGCAGTCACGTTTAACAATAATTGTAATCTTCATACATGTAGCCTGAAACAGTTGACTATAAATTAAAATTTAACGTTTGTGGGAAGTATTTTGTTTATGGTAAGATAATACATGCAGTTGGAACAAGCAGTGATTGGTACTAAGTGGAAAAGGAGTTACAGATCCATTACCCAACAAACAACTAGCGGATCTTTGGAATGAAATTCGAAATTGTCTACCAAGGTTTAATCCCAACGGTACAATCAGCATACCTCACCTAGCAGATGTGGCTCACAGGCTTAAGTACCCAGCTTATCGGTAACGGATTTAAGTCCCACTTCACCTATTTCAAGTTGGGCAACTGGGTAGGATCGTTAATCTTTACACAGTAAGAATGACTCTTGGCCTATCTGTCCTGAGTAAGTGAGCTTAGGCACGAGCAGTAGACTTCGGTCAGGTCTTCTCGCTTTGTGCATTCCTTCTGACAGTATTTTTGGCTATTAATAAAACTAGGGGGATTTATATCGATTCCTAGCACGATAGTGTATAATTGTTTGGTATTGAATTTCAATAGAACGGTTCACTAAGCCGTAGTTCTAAATGCAACCCTACCACCACATATTTTCAGCGGACTTAATTTCCTAGTGTTTGTTGTCTAGTATGATTTCCTTCCTCATATTCTACTTCCGCTACTTAAAATCGTCATTGGGTTTTGTTAATAACTTTTTCCCATTTTACTTTCAATGTATTCCTTCCATACATCGTGATTGGTGGACTAGTCAACCATACATGAGTCTGTATTAATGAGATTAAAAAATTTGTGAGACTACTTCAATAATAGTCATCTACACCTGTAACCAGCAAGACGAATTATTGTCTATATATGGTGTATTTTGAGAAGCGCCTGTTAAACTGACATGGTCTGTTAGATCTGATACTTTAAGTATCTCAATGGCCAAGACGTTATACTTCATTTGTAGCGAGATCATAAAAAAAGAATCCACGCATTTTGACTAGACTTTCATTTGCAGCGTTGTTCTCCATATTCCACTGAATTGCACTTTATTGCTTGTGACAAAAATGTACACATTTTGCTATTCCTACTGGATGAAGTAAAATATCAATTTCTGGCAATAACCATGCGTCTTCAGTGAATTATGTAAACAGTTCTCAAATCTCCAGCCAGCAGTGTTACGGTTTCTTTGATCGGACACTAGATGGTAACTAGTGCCATGCGTCTAGTCCTTTGTTTGGTACAGGCTAAATTGTATCAGTCAGGATGGCTGTGTGATTATGGTTTGTCAGATACAACTATTTTCACTTACTCTCATCCAACTATATTTAAGTCACCGAGTCTATAATACTGCATCACTGTGTAATATCAAGTGAAAATGGTTACCTTTAGTTCAGTCATACCTATATGTAGTTATGGCGCATCCATTTCTACAGGGTTCTCACGTGTATAGCAGATTGAATTTATTGACATCATAACTTTCAACTTACTAGAATCAGCCATATAATGTAGATAAGCTAAATAAAAAATGGTCGTGCTAACGGAACTCAGTTGAATTTGGAACGGTCTGGTGAGACGAAATCTTTCTCCATGATGTTATGAGAATTTGGGTAGCGATTCCAGAACAGTAGCAGGATTTCGGACAATTGCGCATATTTACTTTTGCTCTTCTGGTGACTCTTTTAAGTCTTTTTACATAACAGCTACATTATTCTGCCCATGTGGCGCATTCCCCTATTCCATGTTCGATTATGATTCATAAGTCACCATAAAGTGTCTTTAATCATATAAGTCACAAGTAGCGACATTTCATGTATGAATGCGATCCCAGACAGAAGATCACCAAGCTCATGTGCACTCTAGATTTGACAGTCGTGACAGCGTTCTTCGATATAAGAAGCGAACATGAGCACTACGGTATACAATAATTCCATCATAGAACGACTTTTGGATAAAAACACGGTGATACAGTATTATACACTGATGACGTTTTTAGGACAACTTATTGCTTATTATCATATCGAAGCACTTACATAATTATTGAATTTCATCTATATAATTCCATTATTTCTTATCTTTGGATTTTACTGACAGTAACAATTTCAATATTTCTGGTATTGACGTTGCGTCATTCCTACTGCATGTGATAGGTGTAGATGTGATGAACAAAGACTCAGTAATCAACCACTCCAACCGCTTACCTATCTTGCTTTTCAGAACTGTAGCGCTATCCCATCCTACACATCTGAAAAGCAAGATAGGTAAGCGGCTGGAGTGGTTGATTACTGAGTCTTTGTTCATCACATCTACACCTAACACATGCAGTAGGAATGACACAACGTCAATACCAGAAATATTGAAATTGTCACTGTCAGTAAAATCCAAAGATAAGAAATAATGGAATTATATAGATGAAATTCAATAATTATGTAAGTGCTTCGATATGATAATATTTATTTATTTAAACGCATAAAAAACTTGGTACAATATGGCACCAAGAAAGATGCGCCACACAATAATAATAAAACAACATAGATCAAAAAAAAGGAAGGAAGGAAAGAAAAATATATATAAGTAGAGAACGGATAAAGAACTTCATCTGGAAGGAAAACAGTCATGCTTAACAAGTTCAAACAGTGTTCGTTAGCTATCATCGGGAAGGGAAGAAAGAAGGAAATCGCAACACATTCGCCACTGATTACGATTCTTGGCCATATCCGATAACGTTTCGAGCCATCGATTTGAGCTATCTCTCGGACCCCAACCAGGGAGTCGTGACACACCAACCGATGCTAATCTAGCACAAAAATCCTTCATCCCACGACGCCACGTCATGGACTGACCACCTCTCCGCCTTTTCCATCCCGTCCCAGGGCTAGCGAACAGAGACCTGTACGGAAGCCTCTGGGGTGACATTCGGAGCACATGTCCAAGCCACCGGAGCCGGTGTTTCCAGATGACGACATTCAATGAATGGTGATCTCCACTTTGTTCAAACACACGCCGCCGAACCTCAGAATTACTCACGCGATGATGCCATCGAACGCAAGCAATCCTGCGGAGACAGCGGTGATCGAACACGCAGAGTCGCCGCACATCCTCAGCTCGGAGAGGCCAGGTTTCACAGGCGTAGAGCAGCGCAGCCCGCACCGAAGCATTGTATACCCGACCTTTGACAGCCAGGCTAACGTCGCGACGGCGCCAGAGGTGGCTCAAGTTGATGTATGCCACCCTAGCCTTCATTATACGGTTGGAAATCTCATCCGTCACCCCTCCGCCAGCACTCACACAACTACCCAGGTACACAAACTTATCAACAACTTCAAGCGGTTCACCCGCAAGAGTGAGTGCAGGTACAGGCTCCTGCCAATCTTGTAACAGTACTTTGCACTTAGACGGCGCAAAGCACATACCATACTTACAGACACTGATCGCCAACTGATTAAGTGCGATTTGGGCAGCCTGCATGCTATCGCACAGTAAGACGATATCGTCTGCATACTCGAGGTCGAAAAGTCTATCTCCAGGTAGCAGATCTACACCACCTTCACGCACATCCTTCAGAGCTGACTCCAGAATGTCATCGATGGCAAAGTTAAAGAGAAATGGAGAGATTGGGCAACCCTGTCTAACCCCACTGTTGGTTGGGAACAGTGGTGATAGTTGGTTGTATGCCCTCACTCTACCTGAGGTGTTTCTGTATAGGGCTTTCAGGATGTTAACAAATTTCTCAGGTACACCTCTCTCTAACAGACAGTTCCAGAGCACAGTTCTGTCCAACGAATCGAAGGCAGCCCTAATATCAAGAAACACAACGATCGTTGGCCTGCAATACGTGTGGCGGTGTTCCAACAACTGACGAAGGGTGAACACATGATCAATGCATCCACGACCTGAACGAAACCCAGCCTGCTCTTCGCGAATCAATCCTTCACGTATTTTGCACAGTCTGCGAAGCAAGACAGCAGCCAATATTTTAGACGCGACTGGTAACAGACTGATACCCCTATGATTGTCACACGAATTACGTCGACCCTTTTTAAAGATGGGGACGATAATGGCTTCGTTCCACATTGATGGTACACTCTCTGTCTCCCACACCTTCCTGAACAACCCAGTTAGAGCCATTGTGAGAGTCTCGCCACCATCTTTAAAAAGAGCCGGGGGTAATTTGTCTGGGCCGGGCGCCTTATGGCGTTTCAGAACTTGGAGTTCCTTACGGACCTCCGCTTCGGTGGGTGGGTCGGTACTAACCGACCAAGGAGCACTCGGGCTAATGATAGTAGACACTGAAGCTGGTGGCCAGCTGAACTGCTTCCCGAAGTGCTCTGCCCAGCGTTCCAGGCGTCTTTTCAGGCTGGTAATTGGAGTGCCATCTGCCTCACAGACCGTCTCGCTGACACCTTGTTTCTTGCTGCCGGTGGCTCGTATGAGTTGGAACAGCTTCCGACTGTTGCCAGATGCAGCAGCTGACTCCATCTCACACGCACGTTCTGACCACCAGGCTTCGCGGTCCTTACGTAAACACTGTCTAATCTTGCGCGTGAGCGCCTTTCGCTGATTGTTGTATTCGCTGCCAGCCGGAATGGACCGGCGTTCATCCATGAGTTGCAAGGAACTCGCAGAAACCCAGTGGTTGTTAGCGGAGCATTCTTTCAAGCCGCAAGCGGCTACACTCGCCTTTTGCATGGCACCTTGCACATGAAGCCAATGTTCATCTATACTACTTGGGGGGTTGCTGGCAAGCATTGTTTTTAACTCATTCTGATATTTCAAAGAAGTAGCAGGTGCTACTAGTTTGCTCACATCAACGCTTAGACGACGGCTTTTACGAACCCCACCAAATCGCAAGACGAACTTGGCACACACTAACGCATGATCGGAGTCCAGGCATGTGCTCCAGAAGGAGCGACAGTCTTGTATGCATCCTCGCCACCGGAAACTGACCGCGATATGATCAATCTGAGTCCAAGCTTGCTTCGCAGAGGGAGGACGCCAGGTAGCGCTACGGCGATGGCTGTGCCGGAAGTTGGTGCTAGCTAGAAATAGGTTGTGATCCGCGCAAAGCTGCAGAAGACGGTCCCCATTATCTGACCTGCGACCATGTAGTCCCCACTGACCACCTAGACGATTCTCCTCTGAGCTTAGACGCCCCACCTGTGCATTCAAGTCCCCAGCCAGCACTACGATATCCCTCCGACCCGCCTGTTTCAAGAGATCGCTCAGTTGGTAGTAAAACTCATCCTTCATTGCATCCGGGCTGCAATCCGTCGGTGCATAGGCAGAGACAACAAATAGACACCGCTAGCGGCGGTCAAACAAAAACTTGGCATCAGTCAATGAAATCCACAACAGTTGGTCTAAGCCACGTAGAAAGGTGTAGACTTCCAGGCTGGGGTCCTCGGGACGGTAAAAATCTATGGTTGGAAACAATTGGTGACATGGCTCAAAGCCGTTCTCAGTGGCGCAGATGCATCCACTCCCTGTGACTTATGATCTTCAATGAAACTGTTTTGTATTTCTTTATTACTCCTTTGTCTCACACCTCTGCCCACTGTTTCTATTATGCTTTTCTTGTACTTTCTTCTCTTGCTTCGCGTGCTACACGGAATGCGGCGACTTGAACTTCCGCACATTTGTGCAAAGTTCTATGTCGAAAACAGACAGACACCGCCTATCTGGCCTACTACTCTTTACTTTCGTATAACCTTCCAGCCTCACAGCACATAAACGACTGTTAATGGGAATCCAGTCGAGCAGTGCAGCTTCGGCTCTAGCGCTCAGTGCGACACCGACACCAGCTACGCCGGATACCGACGCCACAGGGTCCCCGGATAAGCGCAGGTGGTACATACTACTAGAACTTCCAGATGCAGAGGATAATCGAAGCACTTCACTGGGATCTTGAATGCGGGTCTCTGAAATGCAGCAGACATCGATAGCGAGGCTTTCCAAAGTTCTCGCCAACCCTGCCTGTTGTCCGATTTGCATCAGCGTCCGAACATTGTAGGTAGCCAGCTTGAACGCAGCACGCGGTTTCAGGATATCCGTGTTAGATGTCACATTGGGAACAACCATTTTGAGGACTACTCACTAACATCTCGAAACGACACGGATAGGCTGGGAATCTCGACAAAGGCGAAGGGCTGTCGAAGGTTAAGAAGGTACAATACAGGAAACTATGTATAAAAATAAAAGTAGGGTAGGAGGGAAATAAGTTCCTTGAGGGATCAGTATTGCTTGGAATCATTTTTACTAGCGCGCGTTGAGTTTCAATGGGAGTTCGTTGCTTTAATTCATTCATTGTGTGCGGGCTGAGATACTGCCCGGGCGCCCAGACCGAAGCAGGTGGTTTTATTAAGGGACCACCCCCCGAGCCTTTGACTTGGAGTCTAATCCGCAAGGCAGCGGAGCAGCGTCAGGAGCTGCATTCCCATGGTAGCCGGTGACCCATGTGGGTTCATACGCCATTTGATCCGATTGGATACTGGAGCCCATGTACCCCATGGTAACTGCTTTTAGTTTAACTGCTATCCAGAAAACCTTCCTGACATGGTAGGACCTGTAGAGACAGAGTCCCAGTCAGTTCAGCTTGTTGGGTCATTGCGGTATTCAAGCCCGACCACCACGACAAGGTAGCAGTTATCGGCCGGGGATATGATAATAAGCAATAAGTTGTCCTAAAAACGTCATCAGTATATACTGTATCACCTTGTTTTTATCAAAGAAATTTTCTTTATAAATCATATAATTACAAAAATCAAATAACATGGTGGTGTTTTTTACTACTTCATAAACAGATAGCTATAAGAATGTGTTACATAGCGGTTTGACGTATAAAGTTTATTGTTTTAGTAGTTGAACAATAATAAACTGCATGTGTATATACATGTTGTATATGTTTGCAAATTGTTTCAAGATCGAAAATCTGGAATGTCTTTCAAAGCTTATCATTCTGGATTTGAGTTTCAATCGTATTAAACATATTGAAAATCTAAATAATCTACACTGTGTGAAAAAGCTGTTTTTGGTAAATAATCGTATATCAAAAGTAGAGAATCTAAGCAGTATGCGGGATTTAGAAATGTTGGAACTTGGTTCAAACAAAATACGGAAACTGGAAAATCTAGAAGAGTTGACAAAGCTAACCCAACTCTATTGTGGTAAAAACAAGATATCAGCTTTGGAAAACTTGGATACATTAACTAATTTAACACTGCTTAGTGTTCAGGTAAGTACTTTAATATTTTCTTGTGTGGTTCAACATACGTTTCAGAACTATATGATACGACAAGATATATATATATATATATATATATATATATATATATATGAAAGCGGCGTTAAAGTGTAGTCTGATGAAGTATAGGTGTCAAAAGGGAGTTGAATAGATCATTGATACCCAAGGTAAAGTGTATTGACATAGATTTATTCTGAATTTGCGAAATTGAACAGTTAGTTTTACTATATGCATCTGCAGTCATCTATGAACACATTAGGATTATGCGTTAAGGTATGTGAGCTGAAGTCATAAAATCCATGTAAACAAGAATTTATCGTACGGACGATTTCGACTTTCACACACAGAAAAAATTAGTTTCATTTTGAAACCAGAATGTATGCCTTCAAAAATGACTTGTTGCCAACCGGGCTTAAAATGGACCCCTCCTTTGACTTATAATAGGCTGACTTCCGTTAGACCTAAAAGAAGCAGGTTAGAAAGTGAAGGGCGGAAAAAGCAACAAAATACTAAAGTGTTGTGTATGTTGCAGCATCAATATTATTTTTAGATCTATTACATCTGTAACTTTGAAAATCCTCACATTTCTGCAATAACTTTTCTTTTTAATTTCTCAGGGTAACAGAGTCACTAAAATGTGTGGATTGGCCAAACTTGTCAATCTGGAACAGTTGTATCTCAGTGAGAACGGAATAACGGAAATCGAAGGACTAGAAACATTATCAAAACTACAAATTCTAGACCTAGCGTGCAATTTCATATCACAAATACAAAACATGTCACATCTACAAAATTTAGAAGAATTTTGGTTCAACGATAACAAAATATCTGACTGGGGACAAATAGAGAAACTAAGTGTTTTGAAAAAACTTCACACAGTTTACATGGAACGAAATCCTATTTATTTCCTGAACTCAGATCGTACAAGACACGACCCTAATTATCGACGTAAAGTACTCTTAGCTCTTCCGAACCTCCAACAATTGGATGCAAACCCCACTGGAGTTAATATGTGATATATGAGTCGTACAAATAGAGTTTTTCCTCACAGCTTCATATCTATCGATCTCTCGGACCTTTTGAAAAATTGTGTGGTGCACCTAAACACGCTTTTTTTTTAGCTATTTTCAATGATTGTAAGAAGTAAAATTTCCAATATAAACACTTTGTGAACTGAATACTTCTTTTTCAAAGAGATCAAGGTTACCGACAAGTCATATATACTTAGTTTATATTCTTTGACCGATCACTAAGCGCGTGATTTCGAGCGAGCAAATTACTGACTTGGGAGTCATTATTTCCAATAAAAAAGCAGACAAATTATAAGTGGGTCTATATACAGAGTTTGACTTTCGTGTGTGCCTTAAAGTAACTACTAGCACTTAATTGTGCCCGAAACGACACCAGCAAATGATAGTGTATTACCGAGTTTTATCAAATTAAGTTAATCTACGAGGCAATCACACTCCAACACATTTCAAAAATTCTGCTCTTATATCAATGTTACTGGAAACAATTTACACAGACTATGACTTCTCAACATATATTGTGTTTACTGTAGATTTAGAAGGACAGGAGTTATGGATATGACATTATAGCGCATAAAAAACCGTCCAATTTATCGAACTGATATTTGTATTCGTTCAGTCCTAACAACGCGTTTGATTATATATGTACATGAGTGGATGATTTAACAACTGTTTCCAGTATTATATATTGATATGTGCATCAATATTTGCGAAGATATTGCTAAAGTTATGCATCATCAAACATTATGTCTCCAAATTCTTGGAAACCTAATCCACGCAAAGCAAACAACTCAGCACGTTTTCTGGCCAACTCCTTGCGGGCAGCTGTCTGTTCTTGTTGCAGTTTGTATATCTCTTCTTCTGAAACCCTCTGCAACTTCTCATCAATGTCCACTTCTGGATTCTAAAATAGGGTGAGTAGAAAAAATAGGGATTGAACTAATAGGTAAAAGAAACAATCAATATATATGTAGCATATTACTCCTATTATTAATACCCCAGGTTCCGAGTGGAACATAGAGCTTAAACAGCACATCTCTATTTTCATATGTACTGTACAGTCGTCTTTGGCAGACTTCACGATTGTTGACTAGCTCTCATCTCCTCCATGTCACCTTCGGACGACCCACTCATCACTTCACATTGGGATTCCATTGCAGCGATGGCCTGGAGTACGATGTCATACAAAGGCCTCCTCAGTGTATGCCCGATCCATCTTCATTTTCTCCTACATATTTGTTGAGCGATCACTTATTGGTTGGTTTGTTTCAGTCTCTCTTCGGCCATTTGATCTTCGGTATGGAGCTAGTGAAAACAGCTGTTGATGAAAGTCTGCAGTGACCTGTTGAAAATCCTTTTCGCGACACGCTGGCTAAGTTTCTAACCCGTATAGAAAAACTGCTTGACCTCCCATTTGTGTTGAAAATCCGAATCTTGTTCTTTTTGCCCTGGAGTGCAGAATATTCCAAATTGGTTTCAGGTTGATAAAGGCGTATCTTGCCTTTCTGATTCTGGCCTGCTTTGACATCTTCATCCGTTCCGCTTGTGGTTGGAAAGGTACTTCCTGGTTAGATAAGTGAAGGAGGTAACCTCTGTCAAATCTCTCCCGCTGATGGTGATTGGTTGGTTACTCCTTCACCCCCATTTTCTCTACATTCACTTTAAGTCCTGTCTTCACTACCAGCCTTTTCAGCCAGATTTTTTGCATTCACCTGCAAGTCATCGAGCTTGTGTGACACTAGACGTATATCATCCACCCGCGAAGTCCAGATCTTCTAGAGTATTGTTATCAGTCCAACGCACACCTGTCTTCTAACTCCCAAAACACAATCTGACGCATAGTCCAGTTCACCAAAATTAGGAATAACATCGGTGATAATAGGCAGACTACTTTTTCTTACTCCTATGTTTTCTTTTTAAAGGCTTTGCTGAGTTTTTCGTTGTGAATAAGCTGGTACATAGCACTGTCATATAGCCAGTTGTTGAATGAGGTCGATAAAGACTTTAGGCACTGCACTTTGTGGAGTTGAAGTAGCTGTCAAGTTACTTCCCGGTCAAAGCTGTCTGTTGAAGGTCTTTTCGAAGTCGATGAAGTTGAGGCAGGGGAGGTTTGCCTACCATTCTAAGCTTTGCTGTGTAATGACGATGCGTAAAGTTGCGATTTGATCAGCACGCGATTTACCTTTCCTGAATCCAGCCAGCTTGTTCCTGTGGCGCTGGCGGAGTTCTGTATCCAGTGGATTCTCTCCAGGATGATGCGACTTACTAGTTTACTTGGCGTGGGCAAGAGCGTTATTCCCCTCCAGTTCTCGCAGAGGCCTTTGGTTTGGTAGTTTGACAAGGTAGCCTTTCTCCCAATGTATGTACTTTTCCTTCCTTCCAAACACTGCGCAATAACAGCGTTGGCACATCTGCTTTAGTATCTGAGTCTGTTTTCAGTGCTTCGAGGGGAATCCCTTATGGTCCTGCTCCCTTCTTGGTTGGCCCTTAGGAGCTCGAACGCATACCGAATTTCGGCCTTCGTTGGAGGATTGATGTCCACTGGTAGGCAGTTCTGTGCATGCTGCTGCTGCTGGTGGTATCTCTAGGTGAGTTGCATGTGATGGTCGATCCAAGAGTCCTTTAAATTGATCAGCCTATTGTTTTATTTGTTTCCCCTCCTTGGCAACCAGGTTCCCTTGAGCATCATTCATTGGTTTCATCATCTGGGTTGATCTCTTCCTCGATAGAGACCTGGTTATCTGATATAATTTTCTTACATCTCTTTTCCCTGCAACTTGCCTGTTCTGCTCCAGTCGCCAGCCAGTGTGTCATAAAATTGTCTTTTTGTCTTTCCTAGCACTTTTCTTCACTCCTTTATTTAGTGCGGTGTATATTGGACTCCCCCCTCCGTTGTCCATCTCTGCATTGAGTCATCTTCTATTCCAACATCCTCCTCTTCTCTCTCCTATTTGCTACCCGGTGGGTGTCCATTGAGAGCCATGCTTCCTAGGACAGTTGTACACGTTTCCTTGAATATCGCCTACTGAAAGTGAGTCCCAATGTTCTTCCACTCAGGTTTCCTCGTTGATAACACGTAGTGTCTCCGAGTTTGTTGTGATTTTATCTGTAGTGCGGACAGCACTTGCAGTTTTGTCCTTCAGTTTCTGAATGTTGAACTTGAATTACAGTGGCCTGTCTCCAGCTGTTCTGAAGGATTTCAGCTTCACCTTCAAGGTTCCTTGAACCAGATGATGGTCTGAGCCCGCCCACATCGGCTTCCCTTCTCGACTTTGTGTCCATCAGGCTGTGTCTCACATTCTTGAGCAACATTGGCATGAAATCTGTTCGGTTTGTGGTGTTTCTGTCAGGCAAAATACATGTTGCTTCGTGTGTGTGTGTGTTGTTGTGCTTCTACACACTCCCTCCGATCACTAGATCATTGAAAGCACAGAAGTCTGCGAATGATTCTCTATTGTCATTCATTTCTCCGAGCGAGAGCCTTTCGACCCATGATGACTTCTCTTCCTGTATTGTCTGCTCCCACTTAGGCTGGCATTCATATCGCCCGTGAGAATTTTGATGTCACCATTTCGGATGTTTTCCATTACTGTTTGTAGATGTCTGTAGAATTCTTTCCTCTTCTTTTGGTCCACATTGTTTGTAGGACTGTGCATAGCATTGGATTATAGTAAAATTCCTTCCTTATTTTAGTAATCCTGGAGGAGATTGGTTCCTACTGTAAACTAGCTTTGGTTGCTGCTGGTGACATCATGGAAGCCAATCCCTCAGTGTGCTTGTCGTGTGAGTGGTTAAAGTGGATCACATACTCTCCAGTTGACAATTTGGAGTCCACTTCCGCCTTATCTGCTTCCATATATTTTTAGAACTTCTATAATGTATCTTCTCATTTCTCTGTCAATCTAAGGAGCCTTTCGACCTTCAAACGTTATGTGGACACTGCACGCCCCCATGCTTGTTCTTGCTTTCATCAAAAGAAGACACTTTTGCTAACTGGCTTCCTGAAAGCTTTCAACAAGCGGCATGATTTCGTCCTTCTGATTTCAGAGAAGGACAGGCTTTTTTCCACAGAAAATGATGATTGTACTAAATTGACTTGGCACATATCTTGAACCAGGTGATGCAAACGTAAAACTAGTAGACTGAGTGTGCTCTTCATTTTACTGACAATATAATTTATTGTCAAACTGAAGTTGCACATCTGCAGTGCTCTATCACACTAAATATTTAAGTGATGTCCCGAGAATGGTTTCTATTGCTGGGGAATTCTTGCAAATAGTGATTTTACACCAATAAAAGTATTTTATAAAATGGTTTTCAAAATGGTAGATGTATGTTAAACTAAACAACGAGTTATTTACAAACCTGTTCGAGTCTTATGGCGAGTTATTTCATCTTCAGGATATAATGGGTTTATGCAATTTCATTTTAACGTACTTAGACGGTAAGTATGAACTGCGTACATCAAATTTTACACACTAGTCCTCCTGGGTTATAAAGTGCGAAATGGAGAAATACGACCGTTACCTGAGAAAATCCTGACTGTCATAACTAGTGAGGTACCATCATATTCAAAACAAAAGCTGAGACAGTTTTTGAGAAGAGCAGCATTCTACAGCTGGTTCGTCGAAAACTTCAACGAAATAGTAAAGCCCCTATATAGGTTGCTGAGTAACGCGGGATTCACATGGACGGAAGATGCGCAGCAAACGTTCGATCGAGATAAAGAGCTGTTAAATAGTCAAGAGATGACATTGAAACTGCCAGTGTCTAGGAAGCAGTTTACAGTTTTGATAGACGCGAGGGATTATGGTATAGGTGCTGTTTTAAGACAAACGGACAGGGTTTTCGAATATACTAGCTGTGTGTTGGCACTTGGAGCACGAAAGTATTCTACGGTGGAAAAGAAGTGTTTAGTTATTGTATTAGCACCAGAAAAATGGAGACTGTACCTGATCAACCACCAATACCACATTGAGACCGACCACAAACGTCTGCAGTGGTTGAAAACAACGAGGGGTCAACGAGGGAAGTTGTCACGATGGATGTTATCCCAACAAGCGTATGATTTCACGATTGGACATATTCCAGGAAAAAAAAGATGCAATAGCTGACTAACTGTCGAGATCAGATAATGAGGTCGAACTACCGGAAGTACCATACGCAGTGAACGCTTCGGAGCAAGATCCGTCATAACTTCTTCGCCGCCAGAATTTGGATCCTACTTCTAAGACAGTCATCCAGATGATCAGTGAAGGGAAAGAAATCGAGACGTCAGCAGAGAATACTGAGCTAAAGACGCTGCTGCATCACAAACATAGTCTCCAACTAAACGCTTCCGGCGTCCTAGCTAGGCAAGACAAGCTGGGTTACGGTGATGCTAAAGAGACTTCGTTGTGAGGTAATTCAAGAATGCCACCAACTAGCCTATACAGGCGTTCCATGGACATACGATCTAGTGAGCCAAAGTGTATACTGGTCAAATATGCGAAGAGATATTGCAAACTACGTACTCGCATGCACTCAGTGCCAAATGATGAAGGGCGATCAGTTCGTTCGACCACCGCTACAAACGATTCCCGTAACATCAGTCCGTGACCCGTGGTCAGTGGACATAATGGGTCCTTTCCCTCAAAAATCTAATGGAAATTAATATATTTTGCTGATGATGGAACAGGCCAAGCGGTGGGAAAATGCTATGGCGACTCCAGATCAGCGCGCCAAGACCGTAACCGAGGCTCTAATTCGATATGTTGTGGTGGATCATGGTGTACTGAAAATAATATTGACGGACCAAGGTCCGCGTCTTGAGAGTGAGTAGTTCAATATTCGTCTGGTGGAACTAGCTATTAAAAGAATAAGAGCGACACCGCATCATCCTCAGACAAACGGCCTAACAGAAAG